GTGTGTAGAAACCATAATAATACATGATTCTGTGCTAATATGTCGCTTAATTGAAGGAGCAATTTTTTTTATTGAAAAGATTGTTTATTTTATATGATTTTTTATTAAAATTATTAATTGCACTGAATATATTATGATTATACTTTTTCTATTATCTTTCATTTTTCATGTTCAGCACGTTTAATAGTTTTCTTACTGAACTATGTTCTATTAATAAAACTTCCCTGCAGCTCTGCAGACATGAACATGTCCCCTCCTACCTGCTTGGAGGCCTCTGCTTCCATCAAGGCTGTAGAAAAAGATCTGTCTTTGGACAGCAGCTCTGTTCCTGGATCAGTGGTTCTGTATTCACAGACTGACCAGAACTTGATGTCTTCCTCCCTGAACTCTGTCCTGAGGAACTGAGAGAAGGTTTCCATCCCATCTGACAGAAGAAAAACACAATGACAGAAACACTGTTAATGCTGAGAGATGAACAACAGAGAGATGAGAGGAGATCTAACTGGGTCAGACCCATATCCAACCCTGCTGAGGAGAACCAGCCCAGGGTGGGCTCGGTCCAAATGTGACCCAGCACCAGGTTACAGATCAGTTTCTTCTGAACACAGCAGCTTTTAGTGTTTAATGTGCTTTAAAGCAGCTGAATGGGAGACAGAAATGATGGACAATTTGTTTTGGTTTTGTATGGAATTTAGTTTGTGTGGTCTGTGGTTTGTGTTTGTCTCTCCCTCCACCACCAGGTGGTGCCCTGTCCTTGTTGGTCCTCTCTGAACACCTGCGTCTCTTTGGATCATTATCGGGAGAAGTACTTAAGCAGTGGACTGTCACTACCTCGGCTCCAGAGTGTTTGCCAGTTTTGGGGTACTCTAGCCAAGCTGAGTTTAGCTGACTCTACCAGAGTCTTTGTTTTGCTGAGTCTAACTGTGTTTTTGTCTTTGCCTTTTGGCAGGAAGTCATCCTGCATACTCGATGTTTGGGCTTCTCCCCCTGGAAGGATTGTTTTGTGTTTCACACTGAGCAGAGAATTAACCTCCACACATTTCGTTCAAGTTCTCCCCGAAGTCCAACGAGTCTGACTGTTTTTTTTTTTTATTAAACACTCTGGCCAAACCGTTGACCCAGCAGAGGCCATTCAAAGAGCCATCAACCAACAACAAACAGCCTTAATCAGACATAACTCCTTGGTTGAATTAGTAAACCAGCAAACTGAGTTAAACCGTCATGTGAATGATTTAACTAGTGCTCTCCATTTCTCTCTCCAGGCCTCGGGGCCCAGCCGGTGAGCTAGCCCCGCCTCAAGCTAACCTTGCAGCTTTTCTTCCCCTTTTTTCTGAGTGTCAACTGCCCAGTCCGCCCAGGTTCGACGGGAACCCCAAGAAGTGCCGGGGTTTCCTCATGCAATATTTTACGCAGTTCAACCATGCTCCAAGTACATTTTCTTTGGATTCTACTAAGATATCCTATATTATTGCTCATCTCACTGACCGAGCTCTGGACTGGGCAGGGGTGAGATTTTCTTCTTTCTCTGACTATGGCTGCACTTTTGAGGAGTTTCTTTTTGAAATTAAGCAGACTTTTAACTAGGATCCAGATAAGGCTGCTGCTTCTGGCTGGAATAACGCTGCTCTCAGTTTTGTCTCTTTAACGCTCTCAGTGACCCCATAAAGGACAAACTAGCCATCTTTGATGATCCTGAAACGTGGGAGGATCTAATCAGGCTATTTATCTGTCTGGACAACCCGACTCAAGCCCGAACCAAGGAAATAGGTTTCCTCAGCTTCATCCTCGAGAGTGGACAGGTGAGACCCACTGAGGAGAAGAATAGGGCAGTTAGGGATGAGCCTGCTCTGTGCCGTCCAGAGACCTCTGAGCCCACTCTGTGCCATCTGGAGACCCCTGAGCCCGCTCTGTGCCTTCCGGAGACCCCTGAGCCTGCTCTGTGCTGTCCAGAGACCCATGATCACACCAATGAAGAGGCTTCAGAGTTTAAGCCCGGTTGAAGTCAGCCCCCAAGAGTCCTCAGCGGGTGCTTCTCGCCCACTCCTAGGTTGTTGCTGTGCCTCAGTTGGCGGCCTCTTCCAAAGATGTTCCATTATAGCAGTGGGCGGTTCCCAAGGTCGCCGTTGTATCACGGCCGGCCCCCAGAGACTTTGCTTCGCCGCCAGCCCCACGGCCAGCCCCCAGGGACTGTGCTTCACCGCCGCCCCTCCAGAGACTGCTTCGCCGCCGCCCCCCCCGGTCGGCCTTCTGAGACTCTGCCTCGCCCCCGACCCTCCGGCTTTGCTGGACTGCCAGGTGGCAGTCATTGAGGTGGGGGGGTACTGTCAGGAATCCAGTTTGTGTGGTCTGTTGTTTGTGTTTGTCTCTCCCACCACCATCAGGTAGCGCCCTGTCCTCATTGGTCCTCTCTGCACACCTGCGCCTTGTTGGATCATTATCGGGAGGAGTACTTAAGCAGTGGACTGTCACTAGCCTTGTGAGACCATCCTGATCTCGCGAGCTTTCAAGATTTCACTCGCAGATCAGTCTGGAGACTCTCCGTTGAAGAAAATTTGGAGCCGTTCACCAAACGAACGTCCAATCAGCGTTGGCTTTGAGGCGGGTTGAGGTGTGACGCAACGAGAAGCGCGACAGTTCAGTCTAAAGAACATGGCGGCTTCAGCCGATGAAACTACCGTTAGCGTGGCTATCGAGCAAGTTTTATCGGAATTACACAGTATTTCTTTACCGAAAGAAGAGCAAAACACTGCTCTGGAGGCCTTTCTCAGAGGAAAAGATGTTTTTGCTCTTCTCCCGACTGGTTTCAGCAAGAGTTTGATCTATCAATTGGCTCCTCTTCGTCGTCGCTCTGTTAGTACGTCATATGCTTCGTTGATCTGATTGGTTTATTTGGCCCGTCTATCACCAACATAGGCCAATCAGCTAACCAGTATTTTCGTCCCTTCCCAAAATAACTTCAACGGAAGATTCCCAGATGGATATGCGGAGTAAATCCATCTGGCGGAGTCAGGTTAGACTGTCACTATCTCGGCTCCAGAGTGTTTGCCAGTTTTGGGGTACTCTAGCCATGCCGAGTTTAGCTGACTCTAACTGAGTCTTTGTTTTGCAGGAAGTCATCCTGCATACTGGATGTTTGGCTTTCTCCCCCTGGAAGGACTGTTTTGTGTTTCACACTGAGCAGGGGATTAACCTCCACACGCCTCATTCAAGTTCTCCAGGAATTCCAAGAGGCAGTCCGCTCTATTGCTCCTCCAGGTCTAACGAATGTCTACATGTCCACTCTCCAATGAGTCCCCTCTTCTCTGGATCAACCCACACAGACTGGATTTCAAAGTGAGAGAAGAACCCCCCCAGGCGTGAGTCCCTCACTAGCATTAACCTTGCTGCATCCAAGATTCCAACAGTCCCTGAACTAATCTTTGTGATATCCTCTCCAGACTGTCTAGTTCCTGTTCACCAGCTCTCTGAGTTCCAGATTCAACCCTTACCTCAATAAACCTGTTTAACCTTTTGCCTTGCTCTCTGACTGGTTCTCTGCATTTTGGGTCAGACCTCTTAAAAAATGACAGGTTCTGCTTCTGGAACTATTGAACTCATTGGTTTATGGTCAGAATCAGAAGCAGCTTTATTTCCAAAGTTTCTGCTCCCAAACAAGGAATAAAGTTTCTGCTCCTCTTTGCTCTCCATGACGTTTGAACAAAGCATAGAAAATGTTGCGTAATGATTGTTAGCAGGGAAGCAAACAGAGTGGCTCCAAACTCTGATGAACAGATTGATGAAAACTTTCTGCTCTACATTTAACAGGGAAGCTCAGATCAGGAGGAACTGAAATGTTTCAGCTTCTTTTATTCAATTCATTCAGATCCTAAAACTCCTTAAAGCTCTGAATTGTTTTCTTCTTTTCTTTTAGAATCAGAACCAGAATTTTTTTTAGCAGGAATCAAAAACAAACATTTTATTTTGAAGCGTCCACAGAATACAGACATCTGGTATAAATATGCAACATTAAAAAGAAATGAATTAAAGGATGAAAGGAGCAGTAGGTTTCTAGATGTGGATGAGCGGCCATTTTGTTAGTAGACTGGTTGTTTTGATGATAAACAGCAAAGTGGACGACCACAGAGCTGCTAGTCTGTTAAACAGAACAACCACAGCCTGCAGACACAGACGCTCCAATATGTTAACCTGGGTCCTCACTGATTTTCATTCTTTTGTAGAAACCTTTTTTTTCTCTTTAACATTATTGTACTTTTTAATTTTCCTTTAATTCCTCCTGTTTTTGGAAGACATGTTTTATCAATAATATATAATCAAAATTTATTAGGAATGTAATTCATTCTTTGCTCTGTCGTGTTTAATGTCTTAATGTCACAGTCATGTCCACAAATAATCCAAAGATTTACTGTAATCATTTTGATTTTTATAAAATGCTGCTGATTTTATTCTGTAGATCTTAAATTGGTTGAATTGTCTGTAAAGTAGCTTCAGATGACAGGTTGTGAATTGGTGCTATAGAAATAAACTGAATTCAGTATAAGTAAATTTTGTGTAGTTTGGTTTTATTAGTTGCTATGGTAACCTGTCCTTGAGAGACAAAAACTGCTTAATGTTGTTTAAACTGCAGGATAAATAATTACTTTGTTCAAAAATATTTGAAATGAGAATCTTCAGATGTGCTTTAAAGGTTTAGAAATTCCCTCAGTTTCCTTTCTTATAACCAACTGTCATGATCTCTGCACTGGCTTAATTACTGCTCATCTGATCCACCTGCTTCTGCCTCTATTTAAGCTACTTGCTTCCAGTCATCAGGGCCAGATTATCTTGTTCTCTTTAGCCAGTGGTGAGAGGGTTTTTAGAGTTCTTTGGTGTTTCTGATTTCCTGATCCTGATCTGTTCTGCCTCACAACCACTGAGCCTGCCTGTTCACATCTGAACGATTTGCCTGAACTGTCTTTTGACTCCTGGACCTCTGAGGCCTTCCTGGACTGATCTGTTTGCCTGATCTGGCTTCGGACTCCTGCATGTCTTCCAGCAACATCTGGGACACTCTGGGCAGTGATGCTGTTCTCTCCTATTTCTATTTCTTCAATAATAAACCAAAAGATCTAAAGTTTTAACATTTCTGCAAATGTAGCTTAGATTAAAAAAAACACAAAGTTAAACAGAGTGGAAAATCAACTTTGATATTAATATATAAAATAAAACTAAACCTTACCATGTGTGAATCTCTTACTGTCAGGTTTCCTCTTCCATCTTCGTCTCACCAGTAGAACTAACAGCAGAAGGAAAACCACAACCCAGACACAGGCAATAGATGGCAGCACATATTTAGACAGAGAAGTAGGTCCAGCGGTTTCAGGGGGAGGGGGGGCTGGTTTCTCTGAAACACAAAGATTGATTAAATATGT